TTGTTAAACATGACACTAAAGAGGCAATTTTACATAAAATATTTATGTATTTATTTATTTGTTTATTTATCTATCATTTTAATTATTAAAGTTCACCTTGAAATACTTAAATTGTTACTGGGACTCTGAACAACCTGTATTATTATTATTATTATTATTATTATTATTGTTATTGTTATTTATTGTTATTAAATTAATAAAAATAATTATACATTTACAATGCTTACAGTGTAAATTACATAATAATTTATATTGTATTAAAACAATGACAATAAAAAATAAAATTTGTATATAATTTTTTAATTTAATATTTGTTTCCATGCTTATTTTTATGTATTTAAAAAAATAATATAAATACTGAAATTATTTATTCAATTATTGTGTTATTTTGTGATTTTTTAATGTAATGTATGTCTGTCTATCTTACATATTAATACTGTATTTACTTGAGTTATTGAGTTGACTCATTTATTAAAAAGTACTCTAAGAAATATATATTTATATTTACATATGTATGTATCTGATTGTAAACCTAAAATTGTATTAAGACCTTTGATCTAACAGAAACAGATTTATAAAATCAGTCAGAGTGGCTTTCTGTATAATCTTCAAGACTCCTCTGCATTCAGAGAGGAGCCGAGAAACATTGATTTTAGAGATAAATTGACCTCATTACCATCTTTTAGACAGGATGTGCAACATTTTAAAAACTGTTTTGCAGTAAATTAACTCCCTGGAACTGCGATTAAATTGAAAAGCTGTGCATTAGTATTTAAATTTAATGGTAATCCATATATATATATATATATATATATATATATATATATATATATATATATATATATATATATATATATATATATATATATATATATACATATATAAACTTTAGAAATACATTACATACATTTCAATACAAATGGCTGTTGAACAACAACTACAGCTAGTAATTTAATCTATGCTCCCTGTAAAAAAGTTTTGCCAACCATAATATCGCCTCATAGGAGCCAAATTTTCTAGTAAGCCTTTTGCTATGGCCATTATTAAATAGGAACTTCCACATTTTTGATAAAGATTTTTGCTGTTCTTTTGCTAATTTTCCAGTCCTTTCACCCACACATGTTGGAATATTGAGCAGTGCATGTTTATAAATAAAAATAATAGATCAGTGAAGGAATAAAGACAAAGTGTAAGACATAAAAAACGATCTACATCAGATTAATTTGGTAAGTGTGCCTTTAAAAAACAGGAAAAATTAAATCCAGCCATCCAACACGGGACCTGAAGGATGTATCTTCCTTTAGTTGGCCAGGCTTTCAGCTCACAG